CCACAACACCAGGTTATTTTTTGGTTGCAGTTGTCATTGTTGCTTGGCAGGCCCAGGCCGGGCTTGACCCCACCAGCTCCGGTGTATGTGGCTGGCACCTTGCTCACTGAGCTACAGGCGCAAAGTCTATTCTACTTTTCCAGTTTTCCTTTTGCTGCTACTTTTTATTTTCATTCCACTGTGATGGGAAAATACGCTTTGCATGATTTTAATCTTTTTAAATAGATGGGGACCTGTTTTATTATCCAACATTCTCCTTGAGAATGCTGTAATCCTTTTTTCCTTTTGGGCACACTGTAGTTTGGCCACAGTAAAGCGGTGGCCTGGCAGGAAGGTGGCCTGCCAGAGCTGACAGGTCCTTGGAGAGCCTTGAGGTCAGCTACCTCTCATCTTATAGGTAAGAAAAGTAAACTGAGAGGTCAGAGGCCACAGCGAGACTGTATGGGCCCGCAGGCCATATACACTCAAAGTTCTCACCTGAGAGTCTACCCTGTGGCATCAGCAACGGTCACATGGAAACAAAAACCTCTAACTGGGTTGACTTAAATGTTTACTGATACTGAGTCTGGGGCACGGTGGCTCACCCTGTAATCTTAGCACCCTGGGAAGGTGCTAAGACCAGCCTGAGAAAGAACAAGGGGTAGGGAAGTGGTGGCTTCAAGGCCACCTGTGGCTCTTCAGGTCCCCAAGTGAGACTTTTCAACAAAATTCAGACTTCACAGAACAAATTCCCTCATTAAAAGAATTTTTCCTGGGGCAGCACCCATTGCTCAGTGGGTAGGGTGCCAGCCACATACATGCAGGCTGGTAGGTTCAAACCCAGCCTGGGTGAGCTGAAAACAGCAATGACAACTGCAACAACAACAACAACAACAACAAAAATAGCCGAGTGTTGTGGTGGGCACCTGTGGTCCCAGCTACTTGGGAGGCTGAGGCAAGAGAATCACTTGAGCCCAGGAGTTTGAGGTTGCTGTGAGCTGTGGGACCATGGCATTCTGCTCAGGGCAACAGCTTGAGACTCTGTCTCAAAAAAAAGAAAAAAATAATTTGTTCTGAAACCACAGCAAGAATGAGACCCCGTCTCTACTGAAAAATGGAAAAAATTAGCTGGGTGTTTGTAGTGGGTGCCTATAGTCCCAGCTACTCGGGGCTCTGAAACAGGAGAATCAGTTGAGCCAGCAGTTTTGAGATTGCTGTGAACTAGGCATAGCACGGTAGCCTGGGTGACAGAGCAAGGCTCTGTCTCAAAACAAACAAACAGAAAGATTTGTTCTCTAAAATTTGGATTTTAGAGGCTCAAAAGGCTATATTCAAGCAAACAGAAGGTTACAGGTTTCCCATGCTGGCAAGACCTATCTCTAAAAAAATACCCAGAAAATTAGCTAGGCATCGTAGGTGTGCTCCTGTAGTCCCAGCCACTGAGGAGGCTGAGGCAGGAGGATCACTTGAGCCCAGGAGTTTGAGGCTACCGTGAGCTATGCTGATGCCCCTGTTCTCTAGCAATGGTGACAGAGTGAGGCTCTGTCTCAAAATAAAACAAAGACAAAAAAACTAAAAACAAACTAATGTTTACAGACCATTTACCCCGTACATGTTTCAGCCATTACTTAAAGCCTGCGATGAGCTGGGCTTGCCCACTCTAAGATGGGCCTGGCTGCGTTCTTTCCAACCAACGAGCGGTATGGATGATAAAATGCTGGGTGTATTTATCTGTGCACCCTATCTCATAAATGTACCAACTTGTCATCTAAGCTGGCCCTCGTATGGGGCTGACTATACCATCTTTCTAGAAATGACAGGAACCAAGGTTTTTAGATTCTGAGGGGCCATGTCTGCTGGACTAGATTCTGTGAAAAAGTAAGGCACAGAAGGTAAAGTGAGAACTGCAGCAAAGCGAGATTCAGGGAGGTGCCACAGTGTGACGGCCAGGCAGCTCCCAGGTGGCTGTCCAGAAGCCCCGAAGCCCTGACATGAATTCAGCTGTGGGGCCAGTGAAAGGATGAGGCTGCCCTCTCTGAGTGGAACTGTAGGATGTTGACCGCTTCCCATCTCCTCTCAACACTCCAGGCAACTGCTGTTTGAGACGTGGTAGGTGTGAGGGGTCTGTCCTGACAGAAAGCAGGACAGCAGACATGGTCCCAGTTTATAGATGTAGAAACAAAGTTGCAGAGAAACCTGATGTGTAAGTCAGGGCTCAATTACAGAAGCAAAACCAGATGAGGATGGATGGATAGAAAGATGTAACAATATGGAGAGATTCAGTGCAAGGAACTGCCCTCTGAGATGATGGGGGCAGGACAGGCAATTCTGAAATCCATAGAGCGGGGAAGCATCAGGATGGATGGCAGGAGCTTGTGGGCACAGGCTGATGGCCTGCCCTGAGTGTAAATTAATACTGCCACATCCTGCCATGGGTTATCTCTGCCCTCTCTAGCCTAGCTCTGTGAAAAATCCAGTCAGTAGGCCGGGAGAGGTGGCTCATGCCTATAATCCTAGCACTCAGGTGGATAGCCTTAGCTTCAGGAGTTTGAGACCAGCCTGGGCAAGGGTAAGACCTCATCTCCACTAAAAATAGAAAAACTAGCCAGGCATTGTGGTGGGCACCTGTGGTCCCAGCTACTCAGGAGGCTGAGGCAGGAGGATCACTTGAACCCAGGAGTTTTAAGTTGCTGTGAGCTAGGCTGACATCACAGCATTCTAGTCCAGGAGACAGGGTGAGACTCTATCTCAAAAAAATAAATAAATAAAAAATAAAAAGCCGGGTGCGGTGGCTCACGCCTGTAATCCTAGCACTCTGGGAATGTCAAGGTGGGTGGATTGCCTACGCTCACAGGTTTGAGACCAGCCCGAGCCAGAGTTAGACCTTGTCTCTAAAAATAGCTGAGAGTTGTGGTGGGTGCCCTTCGTCCCAGCTACTTGGGAGGCTGAGGCTAGAGAATCATTTGAGCTGAAGAGTTTGATGTTTCTGTGAGCTATGGTGCCATAGCACTCTACTGAGGGTATCAAAATGAGACTGTCTCAAAAAAAAAAAAAAAAAGAAAAGAAAGATTGAATCATTAGTGCCTTTAAGTTTAATCAAAGTGATGAATTCCACAAGACCCAGAAACAATGCAAGAAACTCATCCTTAAGATTCTACACCGGCCCCATATACTAAGAGTGGTGGGTTCAAACCTGGCCCAGGCCAAACTGCAACCAAAAAATAGCCGGGCATTGTGGCAGGCACCTGTAGTCCCAGCTACTCGGAAGGGTGGGGCAGGAGAATCACCTAAGCCCAGCAGTAGGAGGTTGCTGTGAGCTGTGACACCACGGCACTCTACCAAGGGCGATGGGGTAAGACTCTGTCTCTTAAAAAAAAAAAAAATTCTACTCCTCTAGAACCATTCCATGACTCAAATCTGTTATCAGTCTGATCCAAGCAGAGATGCAGAACCAGTAGGGTGTAAACCAGGCATCCTTCAACTATGGCCCGTGGGCCACATGCAGCCCGCCTAGGACATTTATCTGGCCTGCCGGGTGTTTTTGCCGCCGCTGCCTGTCCTGCTTAGCAGCTGACTTGTCCCAGGGCCTGCAGTCTGGCCCTCCAATGATCTGAGGGACAGTGAACTAGCCCCCTATTTAAAAAGTTTGAGAACCCCTGGTATAAACACTCAGAGACTTATTGCAGAGAACTGATTTCAGTGAGAGTGGGGTCTGGCTAGTCCCATCTCAGATCTGTGGGCAGGGTGTCAGGCTGGGCTGCTGACCACACACAGCATTCCTACCTTGCTGTGTTCTTTAGGCCTTCTGACTGATCAAGTCAGGTCCACCTGGATTATACAGGATAATCTATCTTATTGACTCAACTGGGGCTGGGCTTTAGTCACAGCCACAGAATGCCTTCACACCAGATGAAATGAGTGACTGAGTAACTGGGGGCCACAGCCTACCCAAGTTGTCACAGCTAAAGCCCACCCCATCTGCCACAGCCATGCCACAGGCTGGAAGACTTGGGATCAGCTCTCACTTTTTGATTTTTTTTTTGTTTGTTTGAAGAGACAGAGTCTTATTTTGTCACCCTCGGTAGAGTACTGTGGCATCACACAGCTCATAGCAACCTCTAACTCCTGAGCTTAGGTGATTTTCTTGCCTCAGCCTCCTGAGTAACTAAGACTATAGGCACCCACCACAATGTCCAGCTATTTTTTTGTTGCAGTTTGGTGGGGGCAGGGTTTGAACCCACCACCCTCATTACATGGGGCCGGCACCCTACAGGCGCCGCCCGGCTCTCACTTCTTTTTTCACAGGCACACAGACTCCACACTTAAGACTGGGGTGTCCCAGCTCAGAGCCCACAGCACAGTGGTTATGGTGCCACTCACATACACTGAGCCTGGCAGGTTCGAACCTGACCCGGGCCAGCTAAACAATGACAACTGCAATAAAAAAAAAAAAAGCCAGGCGTTGTGGTGGGTGCCTATAGTCCCAGCTACTTGGGAGGCTGAGGCAAGAGAATTGCTTAAGCCCAGGAGTTTGAGGTTGCTGTGAGCTGTGATGCCATAGCACTCTATCAAGGGCAACATAGTGAGACTCTGTCTCAAATAAATAAATAACTAAATAAAAAGACTGGGGTGTCCCATCTCACTTCAAATCTCCCTGCACAAGCAGAGCATGGGTATTTTTAAAAAGTTGAGGGAAGGCTGGGCACAGTGGCTCACGCCTATAATCCTAGCATTTGGGAGGCCAAGGTGGGTGGACTGCCTGAGTTAATAGGTTCAAGACCAGCCTGAGCCAGAGCAAGACCTTGTCTCTAAAAATAGCCAGGCGTTGTGGGGGATGCCTGTAGTCCCAGCTATTTGGGAGGCTGAGGCAAGAGAATCGCTTGAGTCCAAGAGTTTGAGGTTGCTGTGAGCTTTGATGCCACCGCTCTCTACCAAGGGTGACAAAGTGAGACTCTGTCTCAAAAAAAATGGGGTAAAATTCACACAACATGAAATGAAACATTTTAAATTATACACATCAGTGGCACTCAGCACATCTGCAATGTTTATCATCTTTATCTAGTCCCCAAACACTTCTGACACCCTTGAAGGCCACCCTGTACCCGTGAAGTAGTGACTTCCCCGTCTTCCCCGTCCCACCTTCCCCATCCCTGCAACATTTTGAAACCAATCTGGGCAACAACGTTATCAGGTACAACTTGGGCGTGTTAAACCTGCCATGTTTGCCAATCCACTGGGCACAGAGGGATCCCCCCACCCCAAGGCAGACAGGGGCTGCAGCCAGCTACTCCTTGACGATGTTCGGGGTGTAGTTGGGTTTGACGGCTTCAGCGAACTCCCGTGCATACATCTCAAACCTGCCGGTCATCTGAAAGCAAAACACAGATGGACTTTAGAAGTTCTTATCGTATAAACGTCTCCCACTTACTTGCCACCGTATCTTGCCACTGGAGGGCAGCCATGGGACAGAAATGTGTCAGGAAGGCTGGTTATTGGATGGTTACAGACTGTAATGCAGAGAACCCCTGTGTGACCTCTCGGCAAGGATTCCGGGTGTTGGAGCAAAGTTCACGGATGCCACGATGACTCAAACAGCCTAGTCTCCCTGGCCGTGGCCTCTGTGGCCCATCTACCTAGAAGGTGTGGTCTGTCCCTAGGCAGGAGGGAGGAGGGGTGCTCTGGCCATGCTGCAGATCCCCAGAAGAGCAACATATGGCTCAGACAGGGGAGTGACCTGCTGAGTCACACAGGAGCAGAGAAGGCTGAGCTCTGAGCCAGGGTCTCCTGCCTGGGCCTGGAGGTCTGTTCACTCCATGGGGGATCATGTCATGGACACAGATACAAGTGGGGGGCACTCCCTCTCTCCTTCCCTCCCTCCTTCCAAAAGCTTTGACATGAGTTCAGGTCCATCACCACAGGTGGGAAGGTTTCTGCTTCTAAACAGTATCTAATGAGACTCAGCACCTGTAACTCAGCGGCTAGGGCGCCAGCCACATACACCAGAGCTGGCGGGTTCAAATGCAGCCTGAGTCTGCCAAACAACAACAACCAAAAAATAGCTGGGCGTTGTGGCGGGTGCCTGTAGTCCCAGCTACTTGGGAGGCTGGGGCAAGAGACTGGCTTAAGCCCAAGAGTTTGAGGTTGCTGTGAGCTGTGATGCCACAGCACTCTACCCACTCTACTGAGGGTGACATAGTGAGACTCTGTCTCCAAAAAAAAAAAGTATCTAATGAGAAAACTGCTCATTGTCCCTGCCAATACTTGTTAAAATAACCAGCTGGCATTCTGGGCTCTGACTTCTGATTTGGATCGAATCTGCACTCATTTGAGCTGCCCAGGAAGAGAGAAAGGCCAGGAGACTTTTTCACAGGCAATACCTTGTTTGTCCGGCAAGGACCCACAGACTCAGGAAAACAGGGTGGCAAAGCCTAGAGCCTGTATCTGGCCAGACTGGAAGCCCTGGAGTCCTCCTAGTCACAACGGGCAGTCATTCAGTTATAGTGATGCAACACTGCCTGTAAGATTTGCTTATAAATGGGTGCCAAGTTGGTGGAGATACTGCTGGACACTTACACAGCAACTCTCAAAGTCAATGGTCCCCTTTGGGGGAGGGCGCATGCCAGGAGGGCAGGCACCTACACTCCTCTCAGACTCCAGATGTCACAGGGCACTAGGTCTCAAAGTTGGCATGGGCACTTCGGAGGAACACTAAGGACTCCGAGTAGAAGGAGCTGACCTAAGGAGACTGAGCAAGGTGGTGGCAGAACCAGGCCTGGACTCCATTTCTCTCTATGTCCCATTTCCCACTACTGTCAAGGTCTGGACTACGGAGCCTGGCTGCAGGCAGAACCAGACATGCACATTTATCTTGTGATAAGTGCAAATGCCTGGAAAGGAAAAAGGATTAAAGAAGCCAATCCACTCTATTCTCTGGACAAATGAAATTGAGATTAATTTGTTTGAAGGCGCCCAGAATATAAACCAGATGAGAGAAGGATTTATGGCAGCCTGCTGCTTAGGCATCACTTGACCCAATGGTTCCTCCCCAGGAGCTGGCAGGGAGGTAGAGACCTGGTCCCCTGCGCGATGCAAGGCCCCTAGGTGGGGATCTGGCACCTCACACTGCTAAGGGCAAACCCAGCAACAATGTTCCCCAGCCTAAGGGCCAAAGCAGAGGAGCAGGACAACAGCAGGGGACCTGGGAACCCACCTTGAAGTTCCAGATGTCATTCATCTGCCGGCAGAGGTTGAGGTTGAGTTCAGCAACCAGCAGCCCATCCTGGCAACGTGACAGCCCAGGAGTCCGGCTGCCATCAGGAGCTGACACGTAGCTTGAGCCATAGAAGTAGCCAAACTCACGGTGAGCTTTAAGAGAGCAAAGTAAAGCATTACTGAGTTTTCTTTTTTTGAGACAGAGTCTCACTCTACCGGCCTGGGTTGAGTGATTGACCTCCTGAGCTCAAGCAGTCCTCCTGTCTTGGCCCTCCAGGTATCTGGAAGGACAGGTGTGTACTGCCACACTTGGTGTCAAAGCTCACAGCAACCTCAAACTCTTGGGCTAAGCAACCATTTTGTCTTAGCTACTGAGTAGCTGGGACCACAGATGCCTACCATAAAGCCCAGCTAATTTTTCTATTTCTAGTGGAGATGGAGTCTTTTTTTTTTTGAGACAGAGTCTCAAGCTTTCACCCTGGGTAGAGTGCTATCGCATTGCAGCTCACAGCAACCTCCAACTCTTGGGCTTAATCGATTCTCTTCTCTCAGCCTCCCAAATAGCTGGGACTTCAGGCACCCACCACAATGCCCAGCTTTTTTTTTTTTTTTTTGTCGTTGTTACAATTGTCATTGATGTTTTAGCTGGCCCAGGCTGGATTCAAACCTGCCAGCTTCAGTGTATTGTGGCCAGCACCCTATTCACTGAGCTATGGGTACTGCCTATAGAGGGAGTCTTGCTCTTGCTCTTACACAAACTCCTGAGCTGAAGCAATCCACCGGCTTTGGCCACAGAGTGCTAGGATTACAGGTGTAAGCTACTGTGCTCGGTCAGTTTTTTTTTTTTAATTAATTTTTAATTTTTTGGTTTTTTTGAGACAGAGTCTCACTTTGCCACCCTTAGGAGAGTGCTGTGGTGCCACGGCTCACAGCAACCTTAAACTCTTGGCCTCAAGTGATTTTCTTGCTTCAGCCTCCTCAGTAGCCAGGATTACAGGTGCCCACCACAATGGCCAGCTATTTTTAGAAACGGGGTCTTACTCCTGCTCAGGCTGGTCTTAAACCCGTGAGCTCAAGCAATCCACCCACCTCAGCCTCCCAGAGTGCTAGAATTATAGGCGTGAGCCACTGTGCTTGGCCTTTAATTTTTAATTTTTTTAAAGAGACACAGTCTTATGTCACCCAGGCTGGAGTGTGGTGGTGAGGTAAAACCTCACTGCAGCCGTGACTCCTGAGCTCAAGCAGTCCTCCTGCCTTGGCCCTCCCAAGTATCTGGAAGCACAGGTGTGTACTGCCACACTTGGCTAAGTTTCAGATGTTCTGTCTCACTATGCTGCCTAGCCTGGCCACATTTGTGTGCTTGTGCAGATGTACTGTGGGCTCTGCAGAGGGACAGGCACATCGAGGCACAGAGGCACACCCAGGACAAGATATTAGCACCACTCTCCCTGGTGCCTCTGCCAAATGCCTAGGCCTGAAGACCCAGAAGTTGCTTCAAAGGGCTCACCCCCCCCCCCAATCTCACTACGCTCTGCCCCTGGGAAAATTTCTGAATGTCACCCTTGTGGAGGTGTTGGCCCTTTGCTCCTAATGTCAGCCACCCACAGCCACCCCTAGGGTCACATGAGTCTGGAGGGCTTCCTGTGTGGCTCTGCCCTAACTTGCCTTGCCAGCTGCGCCACTGTCACCCTCTCCCTTCCTCCACACCTGGTCCCCTCATCACTCAGGGAGGGCGAACAGCTGCCCTGCAGGCAAGGAGCAGGCAGGTAGGGCCAAGGACAGTCCTGGACACAGCAGGAGCCCAGCGGATGCTCATTTCCCTGCTTCTTCTGCACCTCTGTCTACAGGCAGCCTCACAAGGCTGGAGACCCTGGAAGTCTGAGGCCTCAAGTGGGGGCATCTGGAACCCTTCCAGGAAGTGTGTTCCTGGAAAAGAACTGCGTAGCCTCTTCTGGCTTCCCAGGGGACACTCTTTAGTTAGAACAGATGTCTCCCTGGTAAGGGGGACAGCCCCTACCTCTCACATGCTTGGCTAGAGATGTGGGACCTGGGGATGTGGGACTCCCAGCAGAGGTGAGGTGGCATGTGCCCTGGGGATATGGGACTCCCAGCAGAGGTGAGGTGGCATGTGCTCTGGGATGTGGGACTCCCACCAGAGGCGAGGTGGCATGTGCCCTGGGAGAGGTGGGATGTGGCACTCCCAGCAGAGGCGAGGTGGCATGTGCCCTGGGATTAAAACAAGCTGTCAAGGCTGGGCGCAGTGGTTCAGGACTGTAATCCTAGCACTCTGGGAGGCTGCAGAGCTCAGGATTTCAAGATCAGCCTGAACAAGAGTGAGATCCTGTCTCTCCTAAAAACAGAAAAATTAGCCAGGTGTGTAGTAGATGTAGCTCCAGCTACTCCAGAGGCTAAAGCAAGATGATTTTTTTTTTGAGATAGTCTCACTAAGTCACCCTTGGTAGAGTGCTATGGCATCACAGCTCACAGTGACCTCCAACTCTTGGGCTTAAGTGATTCTCTTGCCTCTGTCTCCCAAGTAGCTGGGATTACAGGTACCTGCTACAACGCCTGGCTATTTTTTGTTGCAGTTGTTATTGTTTAGCTGGCCCGGGCCAGGTTCAAACCTGCCACCCTCAGCGTATGTGGCTGGCACTGTAACCACTGTGCTACAGGTGCTGAGTCCAGATGATCTCTTGAGCCTTGGAGTTTTAGGTTGCTAGAACCTATGATGCCACAGCACTCTAGCCTGGGTAACAGTGAGATTCTGCCTATAAAACAAAACAAATAAAAAAAATCCCTATGCTGTAGACTCTAGACATCCCAGGCAATCCATGATCTTGGGGCCTTTGTTTGGAGTGCTGGGACAAGGTCAGAGAGACGGGAGAGAGGTCACAGGGCAGATGATAGCCCCTCCCTCTTTCAGGAAGCTCACAAAGGGCTCCTTCACATCTTCCTGGTCCATCTTCACACCAGGTCCAGGGGAGGGACAGAGTCTGACTCGCTCCCCAAGCCCAGGACTGCCTATCCACATCCCAGTCAGACCTCCATGTTGCAGGTGTGTAGACATGGTCTGTGGGGTGGGCCCTGTCTGGAGGGAGCAGATAGCAAAGGGAGACTGAGGCCCACTCTTCAACTGCAACCACCACGGCAATTCATGAAACGTACCTTTCTTTCCGTCTCCAGAGGTAAACTCATTTGGGAAGAGTTCCTGTGAAATGAGAGCGGTAAGAGGAGCCTATAGGTGGCACTACCACTTCAGTCATTCCAGATCACTTGGCCAGACTTAGCACAGCAAAGGTGGAGTTAGCTAGGAAACAGTTACAGTGAGAAGGAATGGTCCACACTCACCAGGCAACCAAGTACTTATCAAATGTCCCCACTGAGCACCCACCACTGGGTGGTGGGGAATTTGACAAGCAAGGTAAAGACCCGCACTTTATAATCTGGAGAAAAGACAGATATTGAGCACAGGCTGGTTCTCAGGGCTGCAGAAGGCACGTGAGGCTGGCCCACCTGCAGTATAAAACCCCAGCCTGGGGTCTGTGACGAGGGTGAGTGGGGGCGTCCACACATGGTTTTCAGTATCTTCTTGCTAAGGCAGGGCTCCCCTGGCTGATTAACACACCAACTTCTTTTATGTTGCCAGAAATCAGATCAACTTAGCATGGAAATCTTGGTTATCTCAGACTGCCCAAGATGCTCTAATTAGAGTCTGACATCTGATTAATAAGAACAAGCAGGAGGATTATTATGTAACAAATGCATTGTGTTTGGAAGCCCAAGTCGCTCAGTGTTTGGGGTCAACGGAGAAAAATAAGAAACCGGATACTCAGAGGTGATGGGGTGAGAACCACCACATCAAAGAGCCTTTCAAAACAATTTCAGCTAAAAAACAAAAACAGGAAAAAAAATCAGGAGTAGGACATGATGATATCGTTAAAAGTAACAGACCAAGCCAGTTTCCCCCATTTAGGGGTCCTCAGGATTTGTGGGACATGCCCAGAGGAACAGGCAGAAGAGGTGTAACATCTCCCTGCCAGGGCCATCAGGTGGTGGCTCCTCTCCTGAGCCAGACCTGGGGGACGTACCTTGCCCACGCGGTTGATGGCGCAGGTGAAGCAATGGTTGGCAATGGCTGCGTTTCTGGCCTCCACAGGCCATAGGGACTCGCTGTAAAAGAGAAATGAGAACAACCAGGTTGCCAACTTCCCAGCCAGACTTGGTAGGTGGTCAGCCCCGAGCTGCGGCCTGACCAGTGGCTTTCCTGGGCCTGTGGTGGGGAGAGCCAGGGAGCCTCACTGCACCTGAGGTTCATCCCAAACCTGAAACCAAGCAGGCCAGCTTATCCTCAGCACCTTGCTGGAGCCCAAGCAGCCTTCTGGCAAGGGCCCGCTCATGGTCTGCCGGAACAGGGGGACAGCCCTGGATCAAGCCCTCACTCTGAGCCTCAGTTTCCTTTTCTGAAGTGTACCCAGAGGAAGACTGTGAAGACTCGATGACCGTGCACATGAAGCCCCACGTGGCGGAAGTTCCATAACTGCTACTTCCACCTCTTTTCCTTCTCTTGGGATCCACTTCTGGGCTAGGCAGAACCTCTCCCACTAAACATCAGAAGGGAGCTGAGGGTCCAGCAAGGTTGCACAAGGCCTGTCAGGGCTGAGCATGGCCCTCTGACTGCCCCACCCTTACTCTCCTACCCTGCTGTGCTGCCTTGCAAAGCCCTGTACAAAGGGAATATGTCAGGTTAAGCAAACAAGGAACTTAGGTTAATGGAATGGAGGGTCAGATGCTGCAACAGGGTCACCTCCTCTGAGCCTGTCCCTATTTCCCAGTGCCTTCCCATTTTCCTCTTATGGACCCCTAGACCCTAAGTAGAGGCTCCCTGGTTCTCTTACAGGCAAGGGGGGTTGCCCCACAGGCTCAACTGAGCTGTGGGTCCTCCTCAGTCCAGCACCCACAAAGGGAGAGTGTGGTGGGAGACCCTGCCCTTCAGCTGCCAACTAAGATGTGCCATGGAACCTCTGGACATTGTCACTAACAGTCTCTTATCTGAGAAACATCATTAAAGACTCTAGATCGGTTCAGCACCTGTGGCTCAAGTGGCTAAGGTGCCAGCCACATACACCTAAGGTGGAAGGTTTGAATCCAGCCTGGACCCGCCAAACAACAATGATGGCTGCAACCAAAAAATAGCCAGGCGTTGTGGCAGGTGCCTGTGGTCCCAGCTACTTGGGAGGCAGAGGCAGGAGACTCACTTGAGCCCAGGAGTTGAAGGTTGCTGTGAGCTGTGATGCCACAGCACTCTATCCAGGGGATAGCTTGAGGCTCTGTCTCAAAAAAACCCCAAAACATAAAAATAAAAAAATAAAGACTCTAGATTGACAGGGGTAATGCCCACTTAGAAACACTGAATGACTGGGAGCAAAATGCCCCCAAATCTTTCTTCCTGTCAGCATGCACCTGGTTTAAACCAGGGAGTAGGTGGAGGGGGTGGGTGCTTGTCACAAGCCTAATTCTCAGGAGGATTCACGAGTTTGGAAAAAAAAAAAAATCGCAGGCTTGATTGAGGGGACTCATTTTGCTCCTTTTTTTCCCCAGCTGCTAAGCCAAGCTGACAAAACTTTTCAGAAAGGATTTTTACAGAAACACACCAGTAAAAGACATTTTCAGGAATAAAATAGACTAAATCATTTTAGGGCAATTGCCATAAAACATCTTTCTTGCAATTCTCCAGGGAAGTGTTCTGCGTAGGGACTCAAACCCACAGCTGGTGATAAAATTTATGCTCTCAAAACAACCAAGGGAAAGGAAGTCGGGGCTCGTGAGAGCCCAGTGCGTGCAGGAATCGTAGAGAATCTGATGGGGGAATGGGGACGTATGCCATATTCCCAGTGCAGCATACACAAACCCCTAAAAATAGTCCCAGTGGGAAGGCAAAATACAGCCCAGGGAAGGGACAGTGACTTTCGGATTAATGAGCACACATGGCAGAGATCTCTGGCCACTCAGCCTGCAAGGGACACACCCTGGTATTGTCAGGGTCACACAATTAACCAAAAAGCATTTCACCTCTCTTGCATGCTTAGACCTGTGGGATCTGAACACGAACAAGGACCCACTGCTGACCCACAGTGTGTGTGCACACACGTGTCTGTCTCTGATGCAGAAGGCAAAAAAATGCCAGAGAAGGGCATGGATGGTTCTAAATGTTGAGATCTGATGCTTTGTGCAGCTGGCAGGGATTTGTCCAACACTGTGCTTCCAAACACTATCAATTCCACAAATAATCATCTATCATTTTGGGAAAGTCACCCAGACTCCTGCCATCCTAATAAACCACCCGTTGCCATTAAACCACACTCCACAATCATCCTTGTCCATAGAAAAAAATCTTTCTGGAGCTCTGACCACAGCCTGCATACATCTTTTTCTTGCTTGCAGACTTTTGCCATGATGCTGAGTTACTTCTATGACAACTTTTTTTTTGAGTTGCCCCAGGTAGACTACAGTGGCATCATCATAGTTCCCGGCAACCTCAGACTCCTGGGCTGAAGGGATCCTCCTGCCTCAGCCTCCTGAGTAGCTGGGACTACAGGTGCCTGCCACAATGCCTGACTAGTTTTTTCTATTTGTAGCAGAGAATGGCTCTTTTTAGTAGTGTAATCCCAGTAGTAGTATAATGGCTCTTTCTAGTACTATAATCCTTGGAAATGATGAGCTGCACTGTCCTCAGCTGGGACAGGTCCCAGGGTACCAGCTTTTCTCCTATTGTAAGTAACACTGCTGTGAACGCCTTCCATGAACACGAATCAACTTTTTTTTTTTTTTTAAGACAGCGTCTCACTATGTCACCCTGGGTTGAGTGCCATGGCGTCACAGCTCACAGCAACCTCAAACTCTTGGGCTTAAGCAATTCTCTTGCCTCAGCGTCCCAAGTAGCTGGGACTACAGGTGCCCACCATAACGCCTGGCTATTTTTTGTTGCAGTTGTCACTGTTGTTTGGCAGGCCCAGACTGGATTCGAATCTACCAGCTATGGTGTATGTGGTGCCTTAGCCACTTGAGCTACAAGTGCCGAGCCAAGAATCAACTTTCTCTCCTCTTTTCTCTCTCTTTTTCTTTTTTCTTTTTGAAAGAGTCTCATTCCCTCGCCTAGAGTGCTGTGGCATCACCATAGCTCACAGCAACCTCAATCTCTTGGGCTCAAGTGATCCTCCTGCCTCAGCCTCCCTAGTAACTGGGACTACAGGTGCCTACCACAACACCCCGCTTATTTTTCTGTGAGAAAGAGACAGGGTCTTGCTCTTTCTCAGGCTGGTCTCCAACTCCTGAGCTCAAGCAATCTACCTGCCTGGCCCTCTCAGAGGGCTGGGGCTCTTTTCTAGTACTCTTCCTCAGGCTACAATTCCAAGAGTACCATTATCTGGCCAAAGGGCAGAGCATTTTAGGAGCTCAGGAAACATACTGCTCTCCAAATGCTGTTAGAGTTTTTACTGCCAGCCTCACCACACCCTGGAAAGCCAAGGGTTGGGCAATTCTTGGCTGAGGAAGGAAAAAAATCAATCATTTTTAATAAGCCTAAGAGGCTGCTGAAGACATAAGCAGTTATGAGCAGATTACACTGGGGTGCTTCTGTTTGCCTAATTCAGGCTAATAAAAAAAGGCCCGAGATAGTGGCGTCAGGGAGGGCCTCTGCACACGCGAGGCAGATGGCTGGGTCTGCAGCTATAGCTTTGCCTGTCCAGTCCAAAGGCCAGTTCAGGCTTGGGTGCCCAGAGTACAGGCTTCAGGTTGCTACGGGACCCCTGCAGGGAGATGGGGCTCACTAAATGTCTTGAACATAAGTCGGCGGAAGGAGGCTGCTCTGGTGGGCGGCCCCTGGTGGTGCCAGGCTGGGTGACTGGATCATCAGCAGTATCCCACCCACAACTGCCAATGGACACTGTCACAGGTGACCAAGCCACCCTGAGACTCTGAGGGGAGATCACCGCCTGGTTTTCCTCTTCTACCCAGCAGCACCCCTCCTGAACACCGACCAGACCACCAGGGGAACGGACAGGGCAGAGGACCTAAGGTAACAGACTGGGGGTTGCATTCTTGGCTGGGTAAGGGACCAGGCTGTGAAAACTCGGAATGCAGACGTGTCACTCTTGAGTAGGGAGCACCGTGCTAAAAAGAAAAGGTAAAGCAAATGTCACACTCTGTCTTTAGAAGAAATCTGTCTGAAATTTAGCTGAGAGTGAGGATGCGAGAGACAGGTGTGGGCTAACAGAGCTGCCCACTAGAGCACCCCTGCACACCCGCACCTGCTGGGTCACTGGCAACAAAGACCACAGAGAGGGAAAGCCAGCACCTCCTGCTCCAGGAATCCCGCTCTGGAGGAAGTTGAGTTAGGAGAAAAATATTTGCACATAAATTCCTAGAGCTCTGTTACTTGTAATGATGCAAAACTGGAAACCACCCAAATGCTCAGCTGCTGGAGAAAAGCGAGAGGCAGCAGAACACAGCCACACAGGCTCAGCTTAGCTCGCCTGCCGCCCTTATTAAATGAGGGGCCCCGGGGGTCCTGCCTGGAGCTTATAGGCTGTCAGCACACCCTCCTCCTCCTCTGCAGGCTCTGCCTTGACCAGGCAGTTCTATCTCTATTTAGGGGTGAGGCTGTTAAGTGTTATAAAAAGGAAACACTTTGCTGGTTAGAAAGACATTTCCTTGACTGATATTTTAGGGATCCTTTTGGCCACAACCCCCGGATTTGCTCCTTCTCTCACCCAAATGTCTGCCCTCCCCATGCAGGACGCTGTAGGCTTGAGGACTAGGAACCCATTGTCTAGGTCAGGGGTCCTCAAAAATTTTAAACAGAGGGACAGTGAACCGATGGAGGGCTGGACTGCGGGCCCCTAGATGACTCAGCTGCTAAGCAGGACGTAGCGGCGGCAAAAACACCTGGCGGGCTGGATAAATGTTCTCGGCGGGCTGCCTGTGGCCCGCGGGCTGTAGTTTGAGGACGCCTGGTCTAGGTCCAGGAGCTGAAGCCGGCCCGGCATCTAGCATGCGCCAGGCTCTTAGGCACAGGGCTTTGTGAATCCTGACCGGGGCTGGGGAGGGTGGAGGCTATTATTTTTATCTCAGTGTTCAGAATCCCAGTAAAGTTGGTGTTTTACAGTAGAGTGGCTCTTCTTAGGGACAAGGAGGGAGGGTTGTTAATTATCATCTTGAAAATTCTTTTTGCTAAAAATCTGGTCAAATATACAATATACAACCTCAGGGCTCAGATGTGTTAGATAACCTGGTGGCTGTGCCTGCGAGCTGCAGTTTATGGAAACCACCTCCCGCCCTGCAGCCTGGCCTTGGGCCTGAGATGGTTGGGCCCCAGGGACCCTGGTAGACCCTGCCCTCCCAGTGACCTGAGTGCTCCGATGGTGGCCGATGGGTTGAAGATGATCTCAGCCCCGTTGATGCTGTACATGAGCCAGTTGAGAGGGTGGTGCCGCCCATAGCAGATGTTCACAGCGATCCGTCCAAATGGCGTCTGGAACACGGGGTGGCCTAGGTTCCCCTCCATGTAGTAAGTTGACTGAAAAATAACGGGCCAGATAGTCATGCCTCAGACTTATAAAATTTCCCTTTCCTTAGACTTGACAGAAAAAAATGAACTATCAACTAGTAGTCCAAAATTAACACTCCTGAGTGTGACTCTACCTTAAATTCCAGAATTTCAGTATGTTGAAAACAACAACCAAAAACCCCAGACAAAATAACAAGTTGACCCCAAGGGGAAATCACCATGGCTTAAGAATTTACCCACAACCTCTCCTTCGTGAGGTGGCAAAAAATTCCCAAAGCAATCTTCCACATTATTTTCAGGATGAACTTTGGTGAGGCTTTGGCATGGTATAACTAAAGGCTCAGGTTGGCCAATGTCCTTAAATGCCCAGTTAAACGTCCTTATCTAGAAGGTTAGCACTGAAGGGACCCAGAGCTCATCCAGAGCAGCCCGGTGGGCATGCGACTTGCCCAGCTGATTGAGGCCAAATCTGTGAGTGGAATCCACACCCTACAAGTGCCCTTTTTTATAAAGCACCTGGGGCATCCTGCATGGGGTTAGGACATTCTTATAGGACAGGGAGACTGGACCCTGAATTCCTACCCTGCTCATGGTGGGGTGCTGGACTCAGGACGGAACTGATGGAGGCTAGGGGATGAGCTAAGAGCCAGATCTGCTCCTGGAGCCTCTCACCTCCTCCTATGAATTTTCCAGGGTCAAGCAGTAACCAGGACGTGTACCAGAGCCAATCCTGCCGTGCTGAGACAAGCCAGGCGCTATCTGCAGGGAGCTAAAGATTAATCCCAGGGTAAACAGGTGAGGGGTACATCTGACCATCACCACACACAGCTGTTACTAAGAAATGCTGGGTTCCTCTTTCTCCCTGGGGGAACTCTGCTTAGCCCTACAGACTGTTTCTTATTCACCTGATCTGAGACCTACCTCCATAATTGAGGATGGAGGTCAAAGGACTGGGGACATGGCATCCTGAACAACTGTTTTAACTACAAATCAAGTTCAGATTTAATATCTCAAGCATCAGGTGGAGTTCAATTTCCCTCCTTCAAACATCCGCTCCTCCATCTTTCTTTCCCAGCCATGGATTGGCATTAACCAATCAAAATGGCCACCAACGGGCACAGAAAACCCCACGTAAATATACCCAGACACACGTATGCACACCCACCATTACCTGACAACATGGACCCCATGTGAGTCATAACAAGGACCAGACTGTGGCAGCTCAGAGCTGAAAGGGGCTGCAGAAACCATTTCATGCCTGAGTATTATATATTTTGGTTTTAATTTATATAATAGTTACTTCAAAGAGATTTCAGAAAGCCAAATTAGATCATATGTATTTTATAGCTTTATACATAGACACACCCCGACTGCATTAGAGGTGCTTGGGACTCATCGAGATCCCTACCTAAATCCCATCTGCTCATGTGATGTGCGGCAGTGTCAGGAGACCCTCTGAGCACTGCAGCCGCACTGTGCTCCAGTAAGTGTGTGTGATGTGGAACACGAGCCCACGCAGATCCTGCTTCACCCACAGAAAGGCACACAGAGATTATGCACAGAGGGTGGAGTGAGCCAGGCTGCTCATATGACTGGTGGCTCACCTCGTTGAAGTCACCCACTCTGGGAATGTGGTTCTTTCTGGTCTTTCCCAGGACTGCTCCAGAATTAGAGATCACCACGGCTGTGTTCCACAAAACATCCCCGTGCTCTCCGTCACGTTCGAGGATGGGGGACACCACCACCATGTCATGCTTCTTTGCCAGCTGGAAAAAATGATGAACATAGCAGAGTCTCACTTTCAATCCAATTGTTGATTTTTTTTTTTTTTTTTTTAAGACAGAGCCTCAAGCTGTCACCCTGGGTAGAGTGCTGTGGCAGCTCACAGCAACCTCCCACTCTTGGGCTCAAGCGAGTCTCCTGCCTCAGCCTCCCAAGTAACTGGGACCACAGGCACCCGCCACAACACCCAGCTGTTTTTTGGTTGCAGTCATTATTGTTGTTTGGTGGGCCCACGCTGGATTTGAACCTACCACCTCAGATGTGTGTGGCTGGCGCCTTAGCCGCTTGAGCCACAGGCGCCGAGTCTTCTTTTTCTTTCTTTCTTTTTTTTTTTGAGACAAGAGTCTCACTATGTTGCCCTTGGTAGAGTGCCATGGTGTCACAACTCACAACAACGTCAAATTCTTGGGCTTAAGTGATTCTCTTGCCTCAGCCTCCCAAGTAGCTGGGACTACAGGTGCCTGCCACAATGCCAGGCTATTTTTTGTTGCAGTTGTCATTGCTGTTTAGCAGGCCTGGGCCAGGCTCAAACCTGCCAGCTTTGGCATATGTGGCTGGCATTCTACTCACTGAGCTACGGGTGCCGAGCCTATCATAGTTTTTTTTAATTGAAGCAGTCGGTGATCCTACTAAATAGGCTTGGGTCAGAGCTATCACTTGCATTTGCTGCCTGGAATACTAAATGCTGGTGTTGCCCTGATGCTCACACTCAGCTAAATAAGAGCAATCATTGTCTTTGTGTGTGGCCAATGTGACTGTAAAATGGTGCAACTGCTCTAGAAAATCATATGGAGGCTCCTTGAAAAATTAAAGATAGAATTATTATATGATCTGGTAATCCCAATTCTGGGTATATGTCCAAAAGAATTGAAAATAGACTCTCAAGGATATTTGTACACTCACGTTCACAGCAGCCTTATTCCCAACAGCCAAGAGGTGGAAGCAATCCAGATGTCCATGACAGGTGTGAGCGGATAAACGGGACTTTGTACATACATACAATGGAATATCATTTAGCCTTAAAAAGGAAGGATATCCTGTGACATGCTGTAGCACAGATGAATCTTGAAGACATGATGCTAAATGAACTAATCTAGACAAAAACTGTAGGATTCTCATTATGTAAGGTAATGAGAGTAGTCAAATTCACAGAAACTGAAAGTAGAAGGGTGGCTTCCTGGGGCAGGGAGAATGGGAAGCTATTGTCTGCGTACGGAGTTGCAGAATTGCAAGATGCAAAAATTGTGGAGATCTATTCTTGCACAACATCAGGAATATACTTTACCGAACTGTACACTTAAAAATGATTAAGATGTAAAAGCAGAGTATGAATGTCTTAACTCAATAACTAAGAAAATGACATGAAGGCTACGTTAACCAGTTTGATGAAAGTATTTCAAAATGTGTATGAAAACACCACACTGTACCCTGTGATTGCATTAATGTACACAGCTATGATTTAATAAAAAAAACTTAAAAAAAATGGTTAAGATGGTCAATTTTGTATCCCTTTTCCCACACACACACAAAAAAAAAAGAATAAAAAGAAAAATTGGCCAGGCACAGTGGCTCATTGCCACCCTGGTACTTTTGAAGGCTGAGGTGAAAAGACTCTGAGACCAGGAATTCCAGACAAGCCTGGGTAACACAACAAGATCTCATCTCTACAAAAAATTAAAAATTATCTGGGTGTGGATGTACACCTGTAGTCTTGGCTACTTGGGAGGCAGAGGCAGGAAGACCACTTGAGCCCAGGAGTTCAAGGTTATAGTGAGCTATGACTGGGCCATCACACTCCAGCCTGGGTGTCAGAGCAAGACCCTGTCTCAAAAAAAAAAAAAAAAAAAAATCATTATCTTTTTCTTCTACGCTTGTCAAGAAGCTCTTTGGCATCAAGTTTCTTTTGTCAGGACATAGTGATCATCAGGATGAGTAGCTGCAGCTGGTCATAGGCCCAGCTGTGTCAGACAGAGCAGGATTCCTCTCTGGACCCGCTCCCTTCTCCAGCCCTGGTTCAGGCTTCATCTGCAGAAGCCCCTAACCAGTCCCCATCCTCTTTTCCCCATCATAAGGAATCAACAAGCTGGTGAACGAGGTTTTTTTCTCTATAGCCTGAGAACATTGATGCTTGGAATCACAGCTCAGTATTGATTAAGTCACTATGATTAAAACCCCTAAGCTCTGCCCCTCCAAACCCCCGAGTATATGTATAAAGTCTGGAAGGGAATACAGAGAAAAGTCCTTTGTTAGAGGTAAGAATGAGGATAAATTGCCATTGCTACCTCTTGGAATGTTCTTGGTTTTTCTGAGGTTTAACAGCTTTTTTAACATTTAATTCACATAGCATAAAATTCACGCTTAAAAAAAATTAGTCACATGCAGGGATGAGAAGGGGGGAAAGAGCAGAAGCAGAAGTCACTCTTTTAAAGCACACGCTTCAGTGGGTTTTAGTGTATTTTCAGAGTCATGCAACCATCCCCGCTATCTAATTTTAGAACGTTTTCATCACCCTAAACGGAAACATTGTACCCATTAGCAGTCAGTCCCCTTCCCCCCCACCCTCAACCCCCAGAAACCACTAATCTGCTTTCTGTCTCTGTCGACTTGTCTATTCTGGACAGTTCAAATAAATGCAATCATACAACACGTATTATGAGGTTCAATAAAAAAAAAATCAAATGTAATTTCTACACTGATGAGACAGGCCATGCACTGAGGCTTCTGTGGGCAAAGGAAGCTGCAACGGAGTGGCCAGAACTCTGGACCAGGAACCACGAACGCCAGCTCCGCCACCCTGTTGCTGCAGGATTCACCACAGAAGGCACCTCCATCCAAGCCACCTTCCCTGGGCTGCAGCTTCCTCTCCCCAAAAAGCCACTAAGGGCCCTTTGGTTCTGAAACTTTAAAAGTTTAAGTGAAAGTAGTTTTAAGAGGTGGCAAAATAGTGTTATTTAATCTAATCTGGTTAAGAAAAGCAACAGGTGGGTGTGTTTTCCATGGTGAAGGGCCACACCCGACTGCTGGGGCTGGGCTTGGTGACCTGCACATACTTGGCAGCATGGTAGCAGTTAAAGTCCTACCTTCTGACAGAATCTGGTGGTGGGCCCGTCCTCCGCTGACTCGGCAAATTCTGTCCAGGGAAGCTTCTCTCTCGTGCAGAAGGCAAAGGGCATAGCTATAAAAGAGAAGAAAGGTCAGAATCCTATCTAACGTTAGTGAGCTCTGAGAGGGGTTCCTCAGCCTGCTGCAGGAGTTCATCATAAAAGAATAAGCAGGGGCTCGGCACCTGTGGCTCAAGTGGCTAAGGCGCCAGCCACGTACACCTAAGGTGGTGTTCGAATCCATCCCAGGCCCACCAAATAACAATGACGGCTGCAACCAAAAAATTGCCGGGCGTTGTGGTGGGCGCCTGTGGTCCCAGCTACTTGGGAGGCTGAGGCAGGAGACTCACTTGAGCCCAGGAGTTGGAGGTTGCTGTGAGCTGTGATGCCACGGTACTCTACCCAGGGAGACAGCTTGAGGCTCTGTCTCAAAAAAAAAAAAAAAAGAATAAGCAGGGATAAGAGGATTGCTTGAGGCCAGGAGTTGGAGACCAACCTCGGCAAGATAGGGAGACCCCATCAATAAAAAAAAAGGGAAAAAAATTAGCTGGGTGTGGTGGTGCAACCTGTAGTTCCAGCTACCTGGGAGGCTGAGGTAGGAGGATCACTTGAGCCTAAGAGTTCTGAGGCTGTAGTGAGCTATGACCGTGCCACTGCATTGTAGCCTGGGGGACAGAGCAAGACCCCAACTCTAAAAAATAAAATAGATAAAAAGAGAATACAGTCTTGGAATGCTACAGCCTGGCTCACAGAGTCTTGTCTCAGGTGGTATTGGGCAGACTCTACCCTTGGGGCTTCACGGTAAAATAAGGGGCTGGGCCAAATGTCTTTCCCTGTGTTTAAAAACAGTTGCAGCAGGGAGGGACCTGAACAGATATCTGCACACCCACATTCATAGCAGCATTATTCATAGGAGCCAAAGGGAGCCAACCCAAGTGGCTCATCAACCAGTGAATGGATGGACAAAATGTGCAGGGTATATGTATGAAAAAGTAGGGACTTCTGACATACACTTACACGGATAAACTGTGAAGAACATGGTAAGTGACAAAAGACAGAGAACAACAGACACTATAGTACTCCACTTATATCAGGTTAGCTTCTTAGAGGAGTCAAATTCACAGAGACAGAGAAAAGAATGGGGGTTGCCAGAGGCCGGTGGAGGCCAGGGAGTTACTGTTTAATGGACAGAGAGGTCAGGGAGTTACTGTTTAATGAGTAGAGAGGACTAAAGTGCAACGATGAGAAACCTTCTAGAGATGGACGGCAGCAATGCTCATACAGCAATGTGGATGGATCAGATGCCAGAGTGCACGGTTGAAAGTGATGAAAATGGTTGATTTTACCCTGTGTGTATTTTGCCATAATAAAATGTCGTGCTGCCACCCAACCTGCAGATGAGCAGGAGCTCCTGCAACTGGGGAAACCATCAGAGGGCCACTGAGGATGGTGCTGAGAAACCCTTACTGTGTCACCATAAGGACCCTCCTTTCCCAAGGACAGAAAGGCTTCTTTAGAAATAAAAAAAGCCACCCACTTAATGACCCCACAAGAAGTTCAGGAACCAATGGACAGGATGAACACCTTCAAGGATAAATGCTATCATTCTTGTGATTTCTGGCCAGACCCCACAAGGGGGCTAACATAGTAGGAAATTTCATTAGCCAGGCATGACTGTAATCCCAGATGTTTGAGAGGCTGAGGTGGGAAAATCACCTGAGTGAACCCAGGAGTTGGAGACCAGCCTGGGAAACATGGAAAGACCCTGCTCCCAAAATAAAATAAAAATTAAACTAAAGTAAATAATAAGACAAAACAAAACAAAGACATTCTTAATTTAGGCTCAGCACCTGTAGTACAGTGGTTAGGGTGCCAGCCACATACACTGAGCCTGGGTCGGGCCAGCTAAACAATAACAATAAGAATATAGCTTGGCACTGTGGCGGTCACCTATAGTCACAGCTACTTGGGAGGCTGAGGCAAGAGAATCGCTTAAGCCCAAGATTTTGAGGTTGCTGTGAGCTGTGACACCATGGCTCTCTACCGAGGGTGACATAATGAAACTCTGTCTCAAGGAAAAAAAAAAAAAAAAGGGAGGTGCCTGTGACTCAAAAGAGTAGGACACAGGCCCCGGCCAAAATAAAAGATATTCTTAATTTAACCTGAGAAAGCTGATTGGAAAAAAAGAAAATTTCATTAAACTCATTGGTTTTTGTTTTTTTAAACAGTGGTGGTGACATATACAGTAATGGCTCAAAGGTGTCTGTCACTTCCATGCATGCCAGGTTCATACCAGCAATTTCCTGCCAGGGGATGGAGGGGCTTGTGCTTGGGTGGGTGTCGGGGCCCCTGGCCGTGTGTGTGCTACGCATGTAATACTGTTCCATAGCTCCAGCCACACTTGGCACGTCACAGCACCACGAGGCGTGAACTGGATTAAATGTTTACCTCTCCACCAGGGAGGCTGAGCACCTCTACTGCTCCTTTTGGATCAGCCTCTACACTTTCTTATTTACACCCTCCACCGGCTTCCTACCAATGGGGCTGTCTGACTTTTCCCTCTTGATTTGGAATGCTGAATTCCTTGTCTGGACCAATTCCATCTACTCTTTAGAGCTCCTGCCTTAGAACAACCCAAGTTCACGTCTTTTGGAAGGATTAGCCTAAAGGAAGGTTCCAGATATCCACTCTTGTTCTGCAGGCTCTGAACTAACTTTTGAGGAGGGTTTGCTGGAAGCTACCTGAGGTGCCTGGGCAGCGTTTAACTGGCTTAGCCAAGGGGGTTGTGGCCTGTTTAGGAACAACGATGGCCAACATCTCCCAAATGCCACCTAAGCGCTGAGTTTGGTGCCAGCTATGATAGCTTGTCCCTGACATCCCTGGGAAGCAGGTATGACAGCAAAGAAGACAAGCTGCACCCTCTCAATTCCTCTCAATTCCTTCTGGTCCTACAAAGCCCAGTCCTAAGACTGTGCCAGAGTTGAGTTTATCACTAATAACACCATCACCACCTTGGCTGCCCAAGTGGGCCACGGGCACTGCCAGTAAAAGCCTCGGGGAGCTTGGTGCCAAGCTCAAGGCTCCACAGGTTCACCTCCCATGAAGAGAGATGAACTATTTTAAGGAAGTCAACAGAAAAGCTATTGAAAACAAAAATGCTCCTTAATGACCATTAATTCTCTCAGCTTTCAGAGCATTAGGAATGAGTCAAGTGCCCCCGGAGAATAACTTGCTGTTTTCCTGTTCACATAGCCACATTCATGTAAACAAACTTTCAAAAGAAGGATGTGGAATGGACAGGCTGGCTGCAAAGTCCCAACTTCAGTTTTCAAACTGGAGAGGAAGGGGTTCCACAGCATTGACCCAACACCCCATCTGCAGGAACTGCCTGCCTGGACCAAAGGGGGTGAATTTTAACCTGGTGTAGCCACACAGCTGGACAGGACAGAGAGCTCAGCTCCATGTAGGGGAACCCCCAGGACCCTAGAAAAGAGGGCGTTTCTGTTCTGGGAGGAGAGGAAGTTCCAGATCCAATAAAACACAGAATTTAGTTAAAATATCCAGTGAATATTTCTTAGTGCCTGTCAAGTACCAAGGATTGTTCTTGCCAGTAATGATAAAATGGGTGGGGGCAGAAATGGAGAAAATAAATATGCACACTGGCCTCAGAGAGCTTACTGTCTAATGCAGCTGGCAGACAAATCAAGAGTCACACAAACAGGGCAGTGCCTGTAGCTCAAAGGAGTAGGGTGCTGGCCCTATATACTGGACGTGGTGGGTTTAAACCCAGCCCTGGCCCAAAACTGCAAAAAAAAAAAAAAAAAAACCAGTCACACAAATAAAAGTGAAAGCACTGGGCCAGGCGTGGTGGCTCACATCTGTAATCCTAGAACTCTGGGAGACTGAGGCGGATGGATTGCTTCAGCTCACGAGTTTAAAACAAGCCTGAGCAAAAGCAAGACCCCATCTCTACTAAAAACAGAAAAACTGAGGCAAGAGGATCATTTGAGGCCAAGAGCTGGTGGTTGCTGTGAGCTATGATGACACCACGGCACTCTATCCAGGGTGACAGCTTGAGACTGTGTCTCAAAAAGAAAGTGAAAGGCTTGGTGTTCATACCACAATGGTTATGGCACCAGCCACATACACCCAGGTTGGCAGGTTCAAACCCAGCCTGGGCCAGCTAAACAATGACCACTACCACAAAAAGATAGCCAAGCCCGAGTTTGAGGTTGCTGTGAGCTGTGATGCCACATCACTCTACCGAGGGCAACACAGTGAGACTCTGTCTCAAAAAAAAAAACAAAAAACAAAAAGAAGTGAAAGCACAAATGTAACAAGAAAATAACATGAACTTCAGGGTAGAGATGCAGACTGGACATAGACAAACCCACACTCTTTCCTGAAACCTTGCCAGCATGATTCACACAGGTCTAACCTACAAAGACAGGGCACTGAGAGCAGGGACAGCACCAGCACACGAGGGGCTGGAAAGCAGAGGGATGCAGACACGTATCTTAGCACATCAGAGAAAAGTGAATCCCGACAGCTGTCGAGAAGGCCAGGAACCACCCTACTCTCCATCATGAACCCCTCAAAAGTCCAGGAGCCAGAGACACTAGGCACCACTGAGGCTGGGAAGTGGCAAAGCATAACAAATAAGTACTGGATAAAAGTCTGCTTAAGAAGCAGTTAGATGCCTAGGCCTTCCCCCATTCCAAGAGGCTGGGACCTGCCCCTGCTACCCCAGCAGGAGGTTACAGGTGGCTCCTCTAGAGATGGCTCAGCAGAAGCTCTCTGGTCTCCAGAAAGCCAAGACAGATAAAGGCAAGTGAAGTGACAGAACCGAGGGACTGAGTAAGCGTCAGCCTGTTGGACCCTTGTTCTTTCTTCCTTCTTGGCAAGAAGATAGAAGAATTTTCGCTGGTGAATCTAACCAACCTGAAAAGAATGGCCCTGAGGGGTCATCCTCTTGGCAGCCGTCTGTTCCAGGGAGTAGAACCAAAGACATTTTATCTTAAACACAGGCGGGCAGCTGTATTATTACAGAAGAGTGGACAGAAGAAAAAAAAAAAACAGAAGAACCCAGATGTACTAACATCAGGATTACCCAGAAATGACCAGATCATCCTCAAATGGAGCTAAGCAGGTAAGCCCCTCCCACAAACTTGGGGCTCACAATCAGCTTTTTAATCCCCAGTTCTTAAATTACAAGCAGACAATCAGAGGAGGAAAAACGAGACCAATTTGGAGTAAGTAAGGACCATGCAGGGAGAATAAAAATTACTTTTTTTTTTTAGACAGAGTCTCATTTAGTCACTCTCAGCAGAGTACTGTAGCGTCACAGCTCACAGCAACCTCCAGCTCTTGGGCTTAGGCAATTCTCTTACCTCAGCTTCCCGAGTAGGTGGGACTACAGATGCCCACCACAATGTCTGGTTATTTTTTTGTTGCAATTTGGCCAGGGCTGGGTTCGAACCTGCCACCCTTGGTATATGGGGCTGGCGCCCTACTTTCACTGAGCCACAGGTACAGCCAAGATCTAAGTTTTTAGACTGAAATTTCATTATGAAATTGTAGAGGATTAGTGAAAAAGAAAAAATCCTATAATCTTCTAGAGAAAAATAATCAAGGCTTAGACAACAAGTTATAAATAAAATGGCTTCGCACTATTCAACAATACCCCAAACTAGAAGACAATGGAACAGTGTCCAAAAATCTAAAGGAAAATTACTTCTAATCTAAAATTTGATATGCAATCTCAAGCAAGTTGTAGAGGAAATATATTTTCAGATAGGTAAGATCTCAAAGTTTACCTCTTGCTTCTTTCTCAGGAAACTACTTGTTCTCAGAGTCCCCAGTTAAATGGGGGCTCCAGTATCAGAGTGGCTGACAACCTTGTTCACAAACAAAATGATGAGGAGCTGGACAGAGGGGTATTTGTGGTCTGCCTTTCATGGGATATTTTTTGGACCTGGAGGATGGCCGGATGCCTAGTTATCTGACATATGACCAGGGCTCCTTTACATGGGAAACTTATTTAATCCTGGCAGATGACCTTCTCGCTCTTGTCTGACCTATTTCAAATTTATGCCTGACCATTGCCCTGGAGCTGTAGCCCAAGCTTGTGTATTCCCCCTGGTATCCTGGGTAAAACACAGGCTGGGGAAGCCCCTGGTTCTGATGAAAGGTGTGAATTCACTACATCCCCAAAGTAGGGAATAAGTTCAAAGACTTTTACTCATAGATCCTGGGTGGGGAGGGCACAATGAGTTGGGAGGGGAATTCTTTGTCCTTTGGTCCTGGGAGGAAAAAAAGGAGGAATTAAGCAGAGAGAAAGAGGAGTGCAAGGCAACAGCAGCATCTGTAAAGGAACAGGATGGGGGACTTGAAGTTTGCAGGTGAACGCCTGGATTGTCTAAGGGAAGTGGCAGGAAAGTGGGAAACCCAGTCTGCCAGATTGGAGAGATGCTTCTAAGTTCATAGCCTCTGGCCACTGGCTTGAACCATTTGGGTGTGACGTAGAACTGGAAATTGTGTCAAGGGCGACCAAGCCCCACGCCTGGGACTTGAATGGTAAACTTGTACTCAATACAGATGCTGAGCCACATAAAGTTACAAGAACTCATTACATTACCTTACCCAAATGAGGTGTAAACCAAGAAAGAGGAAGATGTGGGAACAGAGAGACGCAAGTCACAGGGACTCCCCAGGATGACGGCCAGGGAGGATCCCAGGATGATGACCGTGCAGCCAGCAGAGGGGGCCCCCAACCCAGACCAGAGCAGTCAGGAGGCTCTGGGGCCTTGGAAGAGGGGAGGTCAACAGACTAGTTGACGTGGCTAAAACACGTGAAAGGGCTTTAGAAATGGGAAGAAGGGGGTTGAACTTGTGGTAGGTATGTAGAAAACAAAGAAAACTCCAGGGAAAACAGAAAGTTATTCAGGAAAGCAAATCAAAGTGGACTAAATGGCTTGACAGAGAACGAATGGGGGCATGGCACAGGAAGAGCACCTGTGTGAGTCGAGGGCCAGGAGATGAACACAGAATGCTGGCTTCTTCCACTGGGTGGGGTGGGGGGGGGGAGTTGACAAGTGAGGCAAAGCTGAAGAATTAGGAAGCAGCAACCACAAGCAAAGGTAAATTCCAAAGGAACCAGCGAGGTGCTGAAAATAGCTGCCTCTGGGGGGAATGGCTGGGTTTTTTTGGTAATAGACCTTATATACCCATCTCACTGTAAACCACCAGCATGTATCACTCTGACAAAAATAGAAAGTAAGGGTGGTGCCTGTGGCTCAAAGGAGTAGGGCGCCGGCCCCATGTGCAGAAGGTGGCGGGTTCAAACCCACCCCGGGTCAAAAAAATAAATAAATAAATACAAAGTAACACAGAGCAAAGGCACATGGCTGGGAGGGGGTGGCTCATGCCCATAGTCCCAGCACTTTAGGAAGCTGAGGCAGGAGGACTGGATTGCTTAAGGGCAGGAGTTTAAAGTTGCAGTGAGCTATGACTGTACCACTGCACTCCAGCCTGGGTGACAGAGTGAGACTCTGTCTCTAAAACAAACAATAAAAAATTAAAAATAAAAAAAGGTACACAGTAACAGGAATGTTCTGGCTCCCTCTGGGCTGAGCTGAAGGTGAAGAAGGGCCGGTGATCACCTGTAGGGAATGATAAAAGCTGGGGGAGATGCCAGTGGCTGGGACCCAGCAGTGACAGACAGGTGGGGAGGAGTGAGTGGATTCAGAGCAATTTGGGAGGAAGAACTGACAGGACCAGACACAGCCTGGGAGGCTGGGGACCTTGTATTTCTGGTGATGTTGACAGAGAACCTTTCTATGGATGAGAAAACAAAGGAGATTTTTTTTTTTAAATCAGCAGTCTTGGCGACACTGAGATAACATATAATTGTATGAAAGTGGCAGAGAAAGGGCCATGAAGGAGACTTACTCCACGCTTCCTGGAAACAGATGATGTTGACTCCGCACGCTGCAGCCACCTCTACAATGGCCTCGATGCGTCTGTGAAGGGCGGAGACCTGATGATTTAAAGAGGATCAAATTCTGCTTAATTCAACAAGAAAAAATTTAAATTAAAAAAAGTTTTAGGGCCGGGCATGGTGGCTCATGCCTATAATCTCAGCACTCTGGGAGGCTAAGGCAGACTTCATCTCTAAAAACAGCTGGGGGTTGTAGTAGGCACCTGTAGTCCCAGCTACTCTGGAAGCTGAGGCAGCAGAATCGCTTGAGCACGAGAGTTTGAGGTTGCTGTGAACTGACACCACAGCACTCTATCGAGGGTAACAAAGTGAGACTCTGTCTCAAATAAATAAATAAAGTTTTAAAAACAAATTGATTAGAATCCATTGAGTTCCAATGGTTAGATAATTTTTACAGTCATAACCACAATGCACATGGAACAAGCAACCCCCACCTGGCCAGCTGCGGGCAGATGAGTAGGGTAGGGAGGTCCTATTTGGTTTCCTTGTCAGGTCCAACACCTGCAGGAGAGGGCACAGGTGCAGAGGCTCTGGGCTCACGGACACTGGGACGCTGCCTTGGCTTCCTCACCCCGTAACAAGGACTGCTATTTGCTTGGTGGGGTTGCTGAGAGGTGTGAGTGAAGATGGCGCTCTCCACACATGACCAAGCCCTTGGTCAGGTGCTCCCTCAGCCTGGGACACAGTCTGCTCTCTGCCATCTTGCCATTAAGGCACATCAAAGCAAGCCTTGTCCTGTGTCCTTTTTTTTTTTTGAGACAGAGCCTCAAGCTGTCCCCCTGGGTAGAATGCTGTGGTATCACAGCTCACAGCAACTTTCAACTCCTGGGCTCAAGTTCCTGCCTCAGCCTTCCAAGTAGCTGGGACCTCAGGCGCCCGCCACAACACCCGGCAATTTTTTGGTTGCAGCCGTCATTGTCGTTTGGCGGCCCGGGCTGGATTCGAACCCGCCACCTTAGATGTATGTGGCTGGCACCTTAGCCACTTGAGCCACAGGCACCAAGCCTGTCCTGTGTCCTTTTAAGAGACAATGTCTCACTCTGTCACCCAGGATGGCGTGCAGGGGCACAATCGTAGCTCATTGCAGCCGCAGACTCCTGGGTTCTAGTAATTCTTTTGCCTCATCCTCCCAAGTACTTGATACCACCACGCCCACCCAGCTCATTCTTTTCTAGAGACAGGAGTCTCCCTACGTTGCTCAGGCTGTTTTCAAACTCCTGGGTTCAAGTGATCTTCCTGCACTGCCCTCCCAAATGCCTAGGATTACAGGTGTGACCCACCGCGCTGACTACTGTGTGCATCTTTTCAGGAGCACCTCATCTTTCTGGCTCTCAAATCTCCGTGCTTTATGTATACTGTGCCCTCAGCCGGGAACATGCTTCCCTCCCTCCACCCAGTCTTCCTGGAGGTGTTATCTGTGTCACGTGTAACCTCTCTGTGGCCTCTGCAGACTCTCTCAGCTGCCGGCTGAATGCTGCTGTAACCTGGCACCCCCTGGCCTTTGGAAGCCCCCAGAGCAGGGCTGTCCCCACTGTGTGCCACTGTTCTTCCACTGTCACTCCCAGGACCCCCCAGGGCTACTAGGGGGCAGGAAGAAAGCATCCCCCCCAGTTTCCTTGTCCTCAGCAGGATGCTTACCTACCAGGGGACATAAAGAAGTATATGCTCAAAGAAAGACCCGAGGAACTAGGCTGAACACCCCAACAGCACAACTCTTTACAACGCCCTCAGTCTCTTCCCCGAGAAGCTGTGCACCGCAGGGCTCTATGCACAACTGCTGACGGTGTCAGCCACATGAACACACATTCACTTGGCTGTAGCAATATACAGGGCATACTTCTGTTTGCTACAGGGGTGAAAAAACACCCCTGGCCCTGCTACTTGACAATGTGGGATGACAGAGGGGACACTATTTCAAACAGTGAATCCAGAGACAGAAACTGAACGGAGAACCAGACCTCTGTCAATCCAACAAAAGCAAAGCGAGGTCTACTGTGAAAGATGATGCAGAATCTGACTTGGAGTCCGAGTGACCACAGGTTTCCCAAGAATTCCTGAGAATTCTCAAGCACACTGTATCCTGAGGAAACTTCTGCAGAGAAAGTCCCCAAAGTTTGAGCAGCTGGAGGAATGCTGCGGGAAAGTATATAAAACGAATCACCGGCATCAGGAACAACATGTTTCTTTGGGAAATATAAGAGGCTGTCACATTTATTTACTAACTGTAAGATCAAAAGCAAATACCTATCTATTCCCGTAAGCCCGCAGGCACCACTGGCAGATGGACTTCTGGGTATAGTGAGCCCCACCCTTAGGATTAAGGCAGAGGACAGTCTTGACCAGTGTGTGCTGGCTGGCAGCTGTCTGAGAGGCAGCGTCCCGTGGACAGAGTGGATGAGCCTGCCAAAAAGGCATCCCCCTAGTTGATAAATGGACGTTCAGATCAATAGCTGGAGAGTAAGTGGGAAAAACAGTAATGAGGACAGAGGACAGAGAGAAAGGGTGAGAATAAGAAGAGCGAGCAGAGCCAGAGACACAGGCTGGGGAAAAGCAGGGACGCTAGGCAAGAGCATCTCTGCTGCAATTCAAGGTGTCTGAGCCTAGAGGCTGGAGAGAGCAGCCAGCCAGGGACTGTGGAGTGTCCAAAACAAAGGACGGCCACAGCCCCACTTGTGTATTTATAGTCGAAAGTGGCTGTACCTGTTCTGCCACAGGGGTGTCTGCAGGGAGGGGTGTTCTGTTCTGAACTAGCCCCACTCGTGTGATGCGGGGTGGTCTCAGCTGCTCCTCGGCTGCCTCAAAGGCATATCCTTGCAGTTCAAAGTCTTCCTTGGAGGCGGCCTCAAAAGCTCTGCTAGGCAGATCAAGCTTCCTAGATGGGCGAAGAAAGAACAGGGAAGATACTTTCGATGTAGTCTGCTACACTGAAAACCCCCTCTCATCCTAGGCAAAGAAGAGGGAAGGGCATCCGGGCCAGAGGGTACTCAGTGCCAGGGCCCAAAGGGGCGGGGGCACAGGTGGGCCCAGCTGTGACTGGACATTACCCATCGTCAGTGGGGAGACCTCAGTGGGAAGGCAGCCTGGTTAGGCCTGGTAAAAGGGCGGCCAGTCAAGAAGTTGGTGTTTTAGAGTTGCTGAAATCAGGCAGGGATTTAAGTCTCAGCAGTCAGCACAGAAAGGAGGGAGCAGATTCCCAAAAAACGATTCTGAACTAGAATCAGAGGGTGATGCTGAGCCTCAGGGCTGCGGCAGCCTGTGCTAACAGAGAGGGACGTGGAGGATGAGGCTCAGGGGACAGGCTGAATGGAGGACCCTTGATAAGTAAGGATCCCCATTGCTCTGTCTTGCTGCTGCTCCTGCTAGGGGCCAGTTTCGTGCCCGAGCTGGGTAGGTATGGTGGGGCCCAGGTGTCCGGGTTTGTGGTTTGTTAACAAGGGCTAGAGGATTATGTAGAAAATCTCCCACTAGAGTGACCATTCGCCAGACAGCAAACACTGGCTGTTATATGCCTGGAACTGGGTGAAACCCTTGGAGGCCTGGGGCATGGCCCCTGGCCAGGAAGGGCTTACCATCTAAGGGTGAGATGGTTATGAAATATGCAGAGAGAACATCAAAAAATAACCTGACAGCCATTATCTAATAATAATATTTCTCTCCTACTTTAAATCACTTTCTTAAAGACGTTTCTTTCAAAATCACAGCCTTGTCAGCCCAAGCCCCCTGTCACCGCCCCCTGCCAGGCACTTTCTAAGTGATGGCCCTGACAGCTCTGAGTTCGGTTCCGCCCCTGACAATCAGCCTGCTTTTCAAACAGTCAAGGTTCCCTTCACTCCGGCAGGTTAGAAATAGCAGCAGTGCCCACACTTCGCCTCCCTTGCTGTGACTGTCTCAGACAGTCCTCCCACCCTCAGGCGGAAGGGCCCCCTCACATGGGCCTGAGCCCCAGGGCAAATCAGTGGACACAAGCAGAGAACTTTCTACTAGCTACAATTCCAGTAAATTTGGGGAGTCACAGGGAGAAGAAGAGGAAAGGCTGTGCGTGTCTCAAGCCTGTGGGCCTGGGAGCTGGACCACTCTTTGAGAGTGTTCTGGCAGCCCTGTCCTTAGCCTGTGGTCTCACACCAGGGAGACATCAGGTGGACCAGCTCCTGTCTTGGGTGTGCAAACCCAGCCGTAGCCACCACCCGGCTGATATCTCTATCTGTAGCCACAGCTGTCCTCCCTGCCCATCTTTCCTTGATGCACAACTTCCCCTCTCTCCCCCTCCTCCTCTCCCCCTCTCTCCCCCTCCTCCTCTCCCCCTCCTCCTCTCCCCCTCCCCAAGACCTCCACCTCCTTACCCCTCAGTTCCGAGGACACTCATTCTCCCCAGCCCAACATGATGCAGGCCAGGCTGCTCCCCCTCCAGGACAGCTGCCTTTGTTTTCCACCTGCCCTGAGCCAGCACCCCCACCAACTGTCCCTTCACCACCTATAAGGTCTCCCTGCCCTCCTATTATACAAGGCAGTCTATTGCCACATCCTACCCCATTTCATCTTGGAGAATCCAACCTACCCTCCAGCTATACCCTGTGCGGATACATTCAATGAACACGTGCTGTGTTCACCAAAGGCTGGGTACACAGATGTGGTAGGGCACTGCCATAAACTGAATGTTTGTGTCTGCCCCAAAGTCCCTACATCCTAACTCCTAACGTGACGAGGCTCTTTGGGAGGGGATTAGGTCATAAGGGTGAAGGAGGAGCAGGTGCAGAATGGGAGAGGCCCAGAGATTATGGAGAACCCAGGTATTAAAGGGGTCAGAGGAAGCGGAGACTTTGTGGGAGACTCGAGTGAGGATGTAGGCATTGAGAGGATGCCAGCAGGACAGAGAAAGAAGAGTCAGATGGTGCAGAGATGCCTACTTGGTGAGGATGGCAGGGAGTCCACTGGTTTTGGCAACGGCTGGTGGCAATTTGCAAGGTGGCAAGTTGGAGGTGGGGTCTGAGCTGAGGAGAGCCAATCCTCATGAATGGGATTAGTGCCCAGCTTCCAGAACTGTGAAGAATCAATTTCTGTGGTTTATAAGCCTCCCAATCTATGGTATTTGTTATTGCAGCTTGAAAGGACTCAGGCAGGCACTAATCAGCCACAGGCCTGGAGGGCAGAGACCAGGGCCTCGCCTCCAACTTTAAGGAAGAAAGCCCATACTTCCCATCCTGGCCGTGATCCTGCCTCTCCTACCCGGGTCAAGGCAGACCTCTCCTGAGGATGCCAGCTCTTGCCGCCTCAGCAACTTCATCTTTCCCCCTCTAATGGCTCTTTACCATCAGCATTTTAAATAATTAAACCACAGCTTTGTTATAAAAGAAACACAAGCTCATGTGGGGGTGGGAGTCAAATAGTGGGAAAAGGTATAAAATGAAAACTAAGTTCCCCTCTCCACCCCGCCTGAACCCCAGTCCCAGACCTCTCTTGAGCAATGTTTCATGCTTCTTTCCAGTATTTTCCTGCATAAGTGTGTGTACTACAAATACAAAGGCATCATTCTGTATTTTCTGCTTTTCAACCTGCCTTTTTCACTAACTATATACCTAGCTTGGATGCCTTTCCTGTTAGTACCTGAAGAGCCACCACATGAGTCTCTCCTGCTGAAAAAAGAGAAGAGAAAGAATACGCCTGGGCACCAGTGCGTGCCACACACGTTCCTCTTGTTCCCTCAACTTGCTGCCTCTGCTTCCCTGTGCAGGAGCTTTCACACACACTTCCCCTCAGCTTGGACGCCACCTCCAACTCCTCACCTTGCACACTGCCACCAGCCACTGCTCAAGCCGGTGGATCCCTGCCTACCTCACCAACCAGACGCCTCTGCGCCTTCTCACTCCTTTCTCCGTCCTGCTGGCATCCTCTCAATCCCTGCATCCTCACTCAAGTCTCCCGCAAAGTCTCCACTTCCTCTGACCCCTTTACTACCTAGGTTCTCCATAATCTTTGGGCCTCTCCTACACTGCACCTGCTCCTCCTCTACCTGGAGGGACTGTCTCCAGGACACATCACAAGCCCAGCCTTGAATTGTGTCCCTGTGCTAATAGCTAGAACCCAAGAACTATGACCGTATTTGGGAAAAAGGTCTTCACAGATACAATTAAGGTCAGGATCTCAAGATAAGATCATCCTGGATTGTCTGAGTAAGCCTTAACTACAATGACAAGTATTCAAGACATCCAGAGGAGAGGCACAGGGATAATAGGAGGTGGCCATGTGTAGACAAAGGCATGACAGGCTGCCAGAAGCTCAGGAATGTCAGAAGCCACCAGAAAAAGCAAGAAGGAATTCTTCCTCAGAGCCTTTGGAGGGAGTATGACCCTACTGACACCTTGGTCTGATACTTCTGGTCAACTGTGAGAATAAATTCCTCCTCTTTTTTTTTTTTTTTTTGAGACAGAGCCTCAAGCTGTCCCCCTGGGTAGAGTACCGTGGCATCACAGCTCACAGCAACCTCCAACTCCTGGGCT